AAACACGGCAGCCAATTTGCACAACAACAATGATCGCAAACCATCATGAAGCGATTCAGAGCAATTTATCTGAGGATTGTTGGCAGAAGATCAGAAAAACCTCTCTTTCTTTGAATAGTGCCATCGGATATTTATTGTCCACCATTGTGAAGCACTCTGTGACGCTACCCCGCATGATGACCACTATGTAAATGCAAGTTGTTGTTGTTGAGCAGGGAGACAGGACCTCAGTTTAACATTCATCCAAAGGACAGCATCTCACACCTTTGACAGTACTTCTCTAGTGATGCACTATAGTGCCAGCCTAAGCAATGAATTTAGATGAGGCTTGAAAACACACAACCTTAAGATCAAGCGGTGAGAACATTATCAACTGAACAAACCCGACAAGCTAAATAAATAAGAGATATGATGGAGAGAAGTAGAGCAAGGGAATTAGAAGTTAATGGAGTTCAAGGTCTGCAAAGATAATTATTGCCATTCCAATATCTTATGGTTTAGAAGTACATAAAAGGGGTCATGGTCTTAACTCAGAAAGCGAAGGTGAATAAGTAATTTAGATTTCACAAGATTACAAGATCACAAAAGAGGTCTGAAAAAGTCATTCATCCCATCATTATCATCAGAATATCCACCCTACCATTCCTCCCATTACAGCATCAACCAATCTTTCTAGTAACGTACTCCAGCCATTAATTACCCTCTGTGTAAAGAAATTTATTCTGATGTCTGTCTTGATATTGCTCTTTATACCCTGAACCAGTGCCCTCTTGTTCTGCTGCTTCCACACATAACTACTTTATACAGAGTGTACTTAACATGTAAAACAGATCTTTTAGAGAGTTGGTGGTGTGGGCAGTTTCAAGAGGAAATTAAATATACCATTGATGGCAAAGGAGAAGCAAGGTAGGGAGCCATAGCAGTCTTTGAAAACTGGGCTGCCAGTAGGACTGCAGTAATCTTTTCTTATTCTACACATTCTTAAGTTTTTACAAAGAAAGGATTCTCCAACAGAATTGAAATAAGGCCTGATAGCAAAATGAACAATCACAGTACAAGAGGTGAGTGAGCAGTCTAATTAAAAGAAGGACTTCCCTCACTGGAGTTTAATCTTCCTTAGAACATCAATTTGTGTATGTAAACATTCAGGTTCGAGAGATAAGCTTTGTTGATATGATCCTAAAAAGGCTCGACTGTAGTTAAATATAATCACAGCTTTTGCATGACAAAGTGAAATGCAGCACAGTGTGAATACTCATTGAGCAAACAAAGCACACAACATTTGCTTAATTGAACAAAAACCTGGTGAATTGAAATCAGAATTCTTCAACATCCTTTTTTTTCACCAGATGTTAGGAATATCTTGCTCTTGATTGGTTTTACAAAAGAAATCAAAACTGAAAATGCTCTCCTTGTTCTCTCTAATTCTATCAAATTGCCCGTATATATGCAGGGTTGAGACAGTGGGAATCTTATTCGACTCCGATCCTGACATCTGGAAGAGGGGATTTCAGAGCAGTTCAATTCACTCCTACTACAGAGGTACAAATAGAAGGGTAATTCTAAACTGTACGTCTCAAGAGCCTTTAAGTATCTTCTTTTCAGTGTTGTTAACAACTGTACCAGTATCAAGACCCTCCTCTTCGACCGCACATTCGGCCACTCTCCTCCCCCTACCCTCCCTGCCCTCCACCCCGATCCCAGCCCCCTGCTCGGGTCCAAATCCCTGACTGTTCAGCGCTTTGGGATGTCCTCCCGACATGAAAGGCGTTCTATAAATGTAATTTTGTTGGTGGTGTTGATGGTGGTGGTGATGTAAAAAACATACTTTTTTTTAACCGTCTGAGTAAGTAGAGCGAACTACGTCATTTTAAATGTTTCTGACCATTGAACCACAAAAGGAGGCCCGAATGGCAATATATTTTAGGTGCGTACCTGCCCAGAATGCTGTGTCAAATTCGGTTTTGTTTTAAACTGTGATTTTGATGCTTGAGTGAATTGCCTGCCTTTGCTGCCATCGTGTGGCAAAATCAAAGAACAATTCACCCACAATCATTCTCGGCCATTTGCACTGTATTTTGTGTCACAATTGTTATCATATAGATTTACTGCAATACAATCCTGTGGTTTAGATAGGGCATAAATGATAACAGTGAGGGATTCAGAATACTAAAAGTATGTGTATGTGGTGTTGCAGATGAGCCTCAGGCTACCAGCTGTCGTATCTTATTGTCTGACCCAAAGGAGTTTTAGATTTCCACAAATAAAATGTAGAAGGCTCTGGGAAAGTCAGGATTAATTCTAACTCCAGGCGAGCAGGCATAGTACTAATGGTCTCCCTCCCATGCATTGCTTAAATTTAATCATCGGAGCCCCAGGAGGTCAACAAAGAAGTTTCTTTCTGTTGTCTTGAATGGAGGTTAAGTGATTGCTCATTATCTTGTCCCCGAGCAATCTAGAAGGCAGAAGTATGGCCATGGGAAGCTGAGTCCTGCTCTGGAGGGTGGATGGGGAAGGAGCTGTTTAAAGAAAAGCTGTGAAGTGCATGTGTTAATCTGGGAGGATTAGTTCTCTTGTGAGAGAAAGTATGCTTTGGAGCAATGGGCTGCTTCACTTCCATCTTACCTCACTGCAGAAGAGAGTGAATAAATTATGGTTTAGTTGTCACTGTAGGCATGTAACATAGGGATTAGCTGACCCTCCTCTTTTATTATAAGTTTGTCAGCGGATACAAGCAGCTTCTGTCAGCATATTGGTAATGAAGTGTCCTCAGGTCCCAACGCCAAACTAGTCTGGACACTTTTCAGCGTCAGATCTCTCATTACTTCCACACAGTTGCCACTGTCCAAAGGCATTCAAAAGGTAAACCGCAGAGCAAATCACATTCCACACTTGTACAACTGACATAATCCTTGCATTTGATATACTGATATAGTTCCCGCTCAGTCTTTTTAAAGTGCTTTGAGATGTTCGACCCATGTCAAAGGTGCTATACAAGTGTAAATTGTTGCTGGAATGTATAATTTTTCAAAACGCTTCCCAGATATTTCTGTCCAGTGAAATGGCTGTGTATTTTTAGGTAAAACAGAGCAGCCAATTTGCCTGCAGCAAGGTACGTGAAATGAATGACAATTTATCTGGAAAATTGTTAGCTAGAACAATGGGAGAAACTCTTTTTTTCTTTTTGAATAGTGTCATGAGAAATTTTAACATCTACCTGAAGAAGCTGGTGACATCATGCTTTAACATTTCCTCCCAAAGGACTGCACTCCTATCAATGCAATTCTCCCCTACTATTTGGTCAGCCGGGTGTCTGACACATGCGGTAACCCATCACCATGCTTAATGTATCCAAACCAAGCTGAGATTTCCATTCATCCCACCTACACATGGAGATCCCAGAGATAGATTGTTTGAATGGAATGCCACCCTCTCCCTAGAGGGAAGCATCCTGCTTACCTAATTCCAAATAGTATAAGGCGCAGGTTGGCAAGAGCCAAGGCTTGGGGACCCCAGAGTGTGGGTTGGGATAACTGCTGGAGTCGAACCAGCTAAAACCACATAGCTTGCCATTGATATTGCTGTCCAGCAAGCTTTCCCGCTGCTTGTCCAGCTAGGACTACCCTACCCATTAGGGTTTTGGCTTGCAGGCTTCTCCCCTACTACTGTACTGGAGTATTGACATAGATTATGAGATCAAATAGAGGCTTGAACTCAAACCTTTGATGTAGGACATGCCAAGAGAAATGTAGCCTGATAGTCAGTCACATTTCAAGCAGTATTGGACAATAGACATGGGATAGCTGTTCTCCACCTAGCAAAGAGCTCAAACCTACACTTGTCCACTGTCAAATGACCAACAAGCAACTATCCTCCTTGGGAGAGAGGTAAGTGGATTCTGTTTGCGGTTTACTTCGCTCAAGGTGACCCACTTGGCAATGGAAGATTGGAATTGAATCGATCCTATGTGATAGTGTCGATACTTGAACTAGGCAGGTCTGTCATACTCCAGCATTGTTGACCCATCCAGTCTGGGAGTTGGAGGAGCATAGATGGGATCTTCCCATTTATCATCCATTAACCATATAAGCCAAACTATTAATGGGGAGGTTAAGATAAATGTTTTCATGCACAGAGTAGTTAAGAGATGGAGTGCCCTGCCAGGAGCAGTAGATGAAGCAGATAGTACACCTGCACAGGAAATGATACCACACTACAATGTCTCCCACTAAAATAACCTGATATACATTAGATAATTTTTAAAAATGCAGGCAGGTATTTTTAACATGAGCTAAAAATAATTTCTCTGAAGCAGGCAAATAAATGACTTCAGTCAAATGTGATTAATAAAAAGGTCAATGAGCTCTGTTTAAAAGTCCATTACATACACAAATGTAATTTTGTATTGTATTTACGCTGCATTTATTTGTGATTGCTATTATATTAAAACCATAACAGAACCAAAAATGAGGGTAGTTTGGCCAGAGGTAGACAGAATTTCTAGAATTGTTCTCAGACCATTTATCATGAAGGTGCTATATAAATACGTTGTTAATGGTTTCATCCTTGGGGTGCACTGGTTTAGCTGGTCTCAGTTTGGATGCCAGTGGATTATTAAGAGATTATTAAGGAATCAATGTCTGTCTGCCCGTCTGGCTGTCCTAAGATTCCTCCCACATAACCCACCACTTTTCAGATGAACACACTCTGATCTCTGCCATTCTTGTCACTGAGCCCAAGAACCCGCTAGCTACTGGGAAATATGTATGATTGGCTTAGTTAAAGTTTTCCAGCTATTTGTTTTGCAATTGCCCAGCTATTTCAATTGGTGAAAAGAATACTTAAGTCGACCTGAAATCCAGTGAAACAAAACCCTTGATGCAGCTTTAAGTTGAAGGTAAGTAATGTTCCAAGATTTAACAGCTCCACCTTCTTACCTTATACAGAAGCCACATGGTCTGCCTATTTGGAGTAATCATTCAGAAAATGGCCAGCTGAACTACCTAGGGATGAAATGTAATGTACACTGGCCACTGAAGCTTTTCTTTTTTAAACACTGAAGCTTATAACGCACCATGAAAAATAGTGGTGCGGTCTGACCTGTGATGCAAAATTCCAGCTCCTTCCCACCCTGGGCCTGCAATGAAGTCTACAGGGAGTAGGCAATCCTGTCAGCCTGAGACCATTGCGTCTGACATTGAGGAACTTGAGAGTGGGAGTGAAAGCTCAGAAAAGTCAAACAGTGAGAGCAGCCAGACTGATGGCAAAGGGAAAAGGAAACGGAAGAACCATTCGACTGGTGTAAGCAAGCAACGACAAGCAGCAAACGCAAGAGAGAGGGACAGGACCCACAGTGTAAACACAGCATTCACCGCTCTCAGAACGCTCATTCCCACTGAACCAGCAGACCGCAAACTGTCGAAGATAGAGACTCTGCGCTTGGCCTCTAGTTATATCTCCCATCTGGCTAATGTCCTTCTGTTGGGAGAGGATTGCCTAGACGGGCAGCCCTGCCTAAAATATCGAGCCTTCACGCAGGACAGCAACAGCGACGTAAATAGTGCAGCTCCCAGACCTATATGCACTTTCTGCCTAAGTAATCAAAGGAAAATGGTAAGATTTTGCTGCAACGGTTTTTAAAGCAACATTTTGTACTCATTTCGCAACTTAACTTAATTAAATTTCTGTTTACCTAGCAATAAATAGGAACTGGGTTGTTAGTCGACTGGCAGCGGATCGCTTTCTGGGGTTAATAATCCCTGCATATTATAAAATATAATAATAATTTGGTCACTCAATATCTGACTGTTTGTGGGACATTGCTGTGCGCAATTGGCTGCCGTGTTCCGCCCACAAAATACCCAGTCAATCCACTTTTCGATATATTCTGTGAAGTGCTTTGAGACGTCTGAACGACGTGATAAGGCGCTACATGCAGGATTATAATGATTATTATAACTTTTAAAAACTTTTAAAAACAAAGGGGAAGATTTTAATGCCTGTTTCATGTTTCATGTTTCATGTTTCAGCGATATCAAACATTTGAAAATAGAATTGGAAAAATGAAGGCAATTTTTGTTGCACTATATCATTAAAACTATTTAATAATGTGCTCTTGAGATTATCATGGCACTCTCGATTTATGGTTAATACATAGGTCCCCTGAATACAATTATTTTCCAAAAGTTATAGATTGATGATTTAATAATCTTATTTCTGAGTGTTGGTAGAAGTAATAGAAGCAGTTACAGTTGACCATGTTATTGTAACTCACTTTTCATTGTTGTTTCATACCTGTATATTTTCAGCTGAGAGAAGGGGAAAAACACCTCTCTTTCTGACGGTTATGAGGAAATCCCATTGGATGAGATGCATGCACAACCTCTACTGCACTGATTGTGAATATCGACAAAGAGTTCACTGCACTGATATGTTTACATACTATTTATTTCAAAAGAGAACCTTAATGTTCTGTTTGTCCGTAAAAGGAATGCCTATTTGCACTTTCTGTTTACAATGTGAGCTTTCAAATCAGGAATCTTTTGTGAATGAAATTTAACACTGTGGGCACAGCTGCACCTGGCACTGCAGTTATTTTAGTAACAGAAATGTTAAAACCTCAGCATCTTGATCCTAAAAGAAAGTTGTGTCGCTCAGACCCGTGTCACATGATGTAACCTGAGCAGACGCATAATGTGTCTCCTGTCAGTGTGAGTCTTCACAACACATCATCACCAGCTTCCTGGAGCCATTGCCAGGCCATGTCCTCCAGTTCTAAAATAACAGGGGTAAAATCTGCCCAAAATGTACATCTTGCTTACCTCAATCACTTCTGAAAATAATTCTGAATGTATTTTTAAGGAAGATTGTTTGCTGTAAATTCTTGCGTTTCAGAAACCACGAGGTTAAACTTGTGAGGTTATCAACTTTAATTATCAATAAATTGATCACATCGAACACTGATAAACTCGCAAATTTACCCCCCGTATGTTACATGTATAACTGAAATGTAATTCCTGCAGCCTTTTTTACGTTATAAAACTATACTTGAAATACTGTGCACTGTGTTTGACAATGTTAATTTGAGATGCTTCAGGAAATTACTGCTGCAGCCATTGCCCGTGTCATTTCACTGTAGCAAAATAACATGCAGGCCCCAATTTTATTCAACGCCAATGCTAAAGTGGGCGCAAAGCTTGTACTCATCTCTGCCCAGCAGGACACAAATTATTCTGCTGTTCAATCTGGCTGCAATGTAGAGTGGTGCAAAACCAAACTGCTTGTAAATTATCAGCCTCATCCGCCACTTTGGTGGCAATGATGAAGCAAGAGGCACCGTGTATGCCAGGGGAAAGCAACGGCTGATGCTCTGGAATTTGAACTAAAATCTGTCGTGCTTTTCTTTAAAGAAAAATAACCTGCAGCTTTGGGTCAGGCAGGAGTGTCTTTCTGATGAGAAGTGGTGCGTGGCTTCGGGCTCCAGTTATCCCACTGTCAAGTTGGTTGAAGGCATATTGTTAAAATCAACCTTTTTGTAGCACTTTCTTACAGTAAAGTGAATTGCTGAAGTAAGTGCCACAAAATTCAGCTTCTCCTACATTTAGCGATATTAATTATTTGTGCCATTCCATGATTGAAAGCAAGCTAGATGTGGTGGTACAACTGCTTCTACCCCCTTTACTATTTGCAAAGGACACGAATGAACATCTACTTGCAGATGGAATTGAAAGGGCTTCATTCCAACTTGGTGCAAAAGAAAAGTCTGGATAAAGTGTGTCCATGTTACGCACAGATTATGCAAGTTTTACTTTGCACAAACTATGTATAGATTAAACAAGGACACTGAGTTTATTTTTCAGATGATTTTATATTGAGTAATTCTAGATCCCTCAGGTAAATGTATTCTGGTGAAATTTATAAACGGGTCTGTGTGTGTAAAAATAAATGCTCTGCATTCAGTCTTCCTCTAAAGATTAGGTTATTTTCTTATATTAAAGTGTACTTATTTAATGATTATGCAAATAAACTACTTTTATTCAGACAGACTGACTCACACTTATTACAGTATCTTCATTTTTTGTGCTATTGTATAGTAAAGTGCCAGCAAAGCAGTGATTAGAAATAAATGGATAGGAAGGTTATTTTAAGAGCAGTGATGATTGTAATTAATATTTATTTTGGTTTTTTTTATCTGTGCATTGCCATCAATTTCACGCTTTAGACAAAACCTCTTTTAATATGCATTACAAGTTGGTCTTGAATTGAAACAAATGTAATTTAGTTGAATGACAGGACATTTATTCCCAGATCCATTTTGCAATGTGTTATTTAGCTGCAATTAGTGCTTTTTACTTGTGGATCTGCAGCATTGGATGACAAACGTGCTTGATTATTTAATGCTTGCTAATGACAGGGAGCCACATGATCAAGTGTATTTTAAACATGCTGATTGACAGTGACAACGGTTCTCACCAAGTTTCTAGATTAAAATGCTCTCAATGCACTTCATAATCTGCACCCCACCACACGGTATATATCACAGAGTATTTCATAAATCACCATCAATCTCGCCTTGTTATGGGAAATTAATATTGGCCGATGTCAGATTTTTGATTAGTAGCTATAGATCTCGCCAATATCCCAATATTTTACATAAAAAACAACTGAGTATATTCACTGATATGGAGAAGCAAATTGGACTAAAAATCCTTTTTATAAAAAATCTTTGTTTTGTAAAATGACACTTTTGGTAAATGCTAATGGGAAAGGTGGTTAGCACATGATCAATTGCAAATAATGTATCAGTTGCACACTGATAAACATTTTACCATTTATGTAGGGAATCATTGAATCTCTAAAATACCATTTTGATTTTAATATTATAATAATCCTAATATCAGTGCTTTACAGGATTCACAGCAAAGTTGAATGACAGTCTATTTGCAGACGGACTCATCAGCGAATCTGCATACTGCAAAGAAGTGAACAGCCATGAAACTAATGATGAGCTATCTGGGGGATTATTATCCAGGACACTAGGACAAATTAGTTTTTTCTTTGTGAATAGTGCCATGGGATCTTTAACATTCACCTGAACGGGCAGATCGGACCTTGATTTAACATCTCATCTGAAGGACGGCACCTCCAAAAATACAGCACACCCCCAGCACTGCATTGGAGCGTTAGCATAGACTATATGAGTTCCATTTGAACTCACAACCTTCTGACCCAGAGGGAAGAGTGCTACCAACTGAGCCACGCTGACACACCTGGTCTCAGCACTTGTTTGGAGACAATGGAAATAAAGGTTGTCTAAAACTAAAATCAAGACACAGTGGGTGTTGCCCATTGTTGCAGTGTTGAAAGGGAATCTACTATATCCTGAGGCCATGGATTCAACATTTCTTAAAACAGTCTCCTTGGTATTACATGCTATGCTGTTGCCCCAAAAAAGCCTCAATAAAATTACATTCCAAACAAAATTACATTACATTTGAGACGTCTCAAAGACGTGATAAAGCACTATATCAAATGCAAGATTATTATTATCGAGCATTGAAATAATGATGCAATTATAATATTAACAATGTGCTTCTTCGTGTATCTATGTACTATGTACTAGAATCTGTGATTGTTCCAAAACAATTCACCTCTCCAAAGTAAACACAGAAAAATGTCATGAAGGAAACAAACTCTTATTGATTTGATTTATCTAAAGAAACTTATGATTCCTTAATTTCTCAATGAGTTTCTATATACATTCAAAGAATCCTAATAATCAACTTCATTCAATGTCCAACTTCATTCAATGATTAACATAGAAGCTGACTCCATCTGCTATGGTAGTCACATTTGTTCAGTCATATGGAGATCTCACCCCAAAATATATAGTCAATTCATTTTACAGTATATTTGTGAAGAGCCTTGAGACATCTTGAATACGTGAAAAGGCGCTATATCAAATACAAAAATTATCATTATTATTATTACTATTATCTCAAAATACATTTCCATCCTACTACTTTTGTAAATCTATCAAGTTACCGGCCCATCTCCAACCTCCCCTTTCTCTCCAAGGTCTTGGAAAGAGTTGTCGCCTCCCAACTGCGCTCTTTCCTTTCCACCCATTCTCTTTTCGAACCCCTTCAGTCAGGTTTCCGTGCTGCCCATAGCACAGAAACTGCCCTGGTCAAGGTCACCAATGATATCCTGACCATCTGTGACCAGGGCTCCCTCTGTCTCCTCGTCCTCCTCGACCTATCGGCAGCATTCGATACGGTCGACCACGCTATCCTACTCCACCGCTTGTCCTCCCACCTCAACCTTCAAGGCACTGTCCTTGAATGGTTTAGGTCGTACCTTTCTCACCGTCTTCATTTTGTCTCGACGAATGGCTTCTCCTCCACCCCCCGCACTGTCTCATGTGGTGTCCCTCAGGGCTCTGTCCTTGGTCCCCTCCTCTTCACCCTCTATATGCTCCCCCTTGGTGACATCATCCGCAGACATGGGGTTAACTTCCACATGTATGCGGATGACACCCAACTCTACCTTTCCTCCTCTACTCTCAACTCCACGACCACCGATGTCCTGACAGCTGCCTGTCCGACATCGAGTCCTGGACGAGAGACAACTTTCTTCAGCTCAACGTGCGAAAAACCGAGGCCCTCCTGATTGGCTCACGTCAGCGCCTCCGCACCTCAGGCGCTGACACCATCAGCATCCAAGGCTGCACTCTCCACCTCTCAAAGCCAGTCAGGAACCTCGGCGTTTTGTTCGACCCTGAGCTGTCCTTTCTCCCTCACATCCGCACCACAACTGGCACCGCCTTCCATCACCTCCGGAACATCGCCAGACTACGGCATTACCTCACCCCTCACGCTGCTGAAACCCTGGTTCACGCCTTTGTCACCTCAAGGCTGGACTATGGGAACTCTCTCCTCGCCGGCCTTCCCGCCACCTCCCTCCACAAGCTGCAGGTCATTCAGAACTCTGCAGCTCGTGTACTGTCCCGCACCAGGCTTCGGGACCACATCACTCCCACCCTCGCTCGCCTCCACTGGCTCCCCATCCCCCAGAGGATTGATTTCAAGATCCTCATCCTCACCTACAAGGCCATTCACGGCCTTGCTCCCTCCTACCTCTCCAACCTACTATCCCCCTACCTACCTGCCCGTACCCTCCGTTCCTCTGGCTCCGGTCTGCTCCACGTCCCCCGCCCCAACCGCCCTACCATCGGTGGTCGGGCCTTCAGCCTCTCAGCCCCCAGGCTCTGGAACTCCATCCCCCAGTGCCTTCGCCGCCTCCTCCCTTTCCTCCTTCAAGGCCGGTCTCAAAACCTTTCTCTTTGACCGAGCCTTCAGCTCCCCTCTCGACTCTCTTCCCCCTCCTCGCTCCCTCCCTTTCCTCCCCTCACCCTGACCATTTCCCCCCTCCTCGCTCCCTCCCTTCCCTCCCCTCACCCTGACCATTTCCCCCCTGCTCGGGTCATGACCCAACTGTGCAGCGCCTTGGGACGTCCTCCTGACGTGAAAGGCGCTTTATAAATGGAATCTTGTTGTTGTTGTTGTTGTTGTTGTAAATTCAGTATGATAGAATCCTAATAAAATACCTCAGAAAGAAGTGGTACTGTGGGAACTGGAATCCTCACAATTTTCAGCAACCTTGGGCAAGTTTCCTTACTCCACACAGAGCCTAATAATAATCCCTCCAAAACCAAAAACAATAATAAATTGGTCATTTTCAATCTATGACTGTTTGTGGGACATTGCTGTGCGCAATTGGCTGCCACGTTCGCCCACAAATATACGGTCAATTCACTTTACAGTGTGTTCTGTGAAGCACTTTGGGACGTCCTCCCGACGTGAAAAGCGCTATCAAATTATTATTATTATTATTATAACTGGAGTCCTTACAATTTTCTGTAGAATCCTCCCAGGCTATACAATGACCCTCCTGGAAAGTACATGTGGATGAATGTCCTAGTTATAGGGGAACTCCTGTATTTAGCAGAACATTCATTTGGAGCCCTTTTATTTGCAAAGGCAAGGAAATAGTAAATAGGGTACTGCTAAGATCTGATTCTCAAAATTCTTGGAGAATTATTAGAGAATTATAATAATAAAGATCCTTGCATTTGATATAGCACCTTATCATGTCTTTGAGACGTCTCAAAGCACTTCACAGAATATACTGTAAAGTGATTACAGCACAGAAGGAGGCATTCGTGCTTTGCGAGATAGCTGCATTCTGTTTTTCCAAGAATTGCGGACAATCTTAATAAATAACTTAACTAAGTAATATGGAATCCAAAGGTTCTACAAGAGCAGTTTATTTGCTTCACAATACTGTCCTCAGTGGTGGTGGTGAGTTGCTGGAGATAGTGAGATATAAGTTTGACTATTTCAAGGAAATTAGGAAACTTAAATGCATGTTTTTTTCTTTTCTTAAGTGAAAATCACTTTTGAAATCAAACCTCATGCCAGGCAAACATAATCTGTTGTATCTAATTTGACTCAGTTTGTTCTCTTCTGTACTCAGCGAGCTACAGTTGATCAATTATTAAAATACGAAAAATGAGAATTTGTTCCCGCAAAAGGAAATTAGTTCACGGAAAATTGATAATTCTTCACAGGGGAGTATAATCTTAAAATTAGAGCTAGGCCATTTAGGAGTGAAAGTAGGAGGCAGTTTTTCACCCAAATGGTAGTGGAAATCTGAAACTCTTTCCCCCAAAAGGCTGTAGATGCTGGATCCATTCACATTTTTAAGACTGAGTCGGATTGATATTTGTTAGTTCAGGGTATTAAGGGATACGGAGCAAGGTTGGGTAATTGGAGGTGAGGTGTAGATCAGCCATGATCTCATGGTATGGCTGAACAGGTTTGAGGGGTTGAATGGCCTACTCCTGTTTATATGTTTCTATCACAAGTTGCCCCACTGTAGACAAGATTAATGTGAATATAACTTAATCCACTTTGCCTGATATTGGACTTGGAAATTTTAATTGTTAAATTCACTCACTGCTAAATCATACCATTGAATTG